CTAGCTTTGATTGCTTAGCATTTGTTGTGCCAAGAGCTTAATGTTGTTGTTGTCATATCTACACCCCGTCACCACTTACCACCCACCCACCACCCAGCACCCTGCCCGCTCCCTATTTGTTGTTGGCATTTTCAATTAATTGTGTGCCACTTGCCAAGTTGTTCATGCGCCAAGTGCGCATCAGCAGCAGCGGCAATAAAAAAAGCGCATTTAATCGCAAATCAGCGCCTGAAGTGGGCGTTCACAAGTAGGCAACTGCCTCCCCCCCCCCCCCCCCCTGCCCACATTTTAAAGTGCATGGAATGAGTGCATTTTTTCATGTTCAGAATTATTTCCAAGTGATGGAGTTAAATGCGTGGGTCTATATATATATATGTATATATACATAAATAGGGTAAAAGTTTGTGAGATAATTTTTTTAAGCCTGCGCTTTCATTCAAAGGTGCTTCAGCACTCACAACTCGAATAATTTGCAAACTAGGCTACTTTAATTTTGTATTCGCACAAATGAGACTTTATATGATTGATGTAAATAATAAACCGCGATTTATAGACTGATTTGAATGGCTTAAATGCAATTCAAGAATTTATAATGCTCTGGAAAAAATTAGTTATAAATTAAATATAAACTTGTTGATTTTAAAATGGATCTTGAGGAGTTTTGTAAGTAGAATAGATTGTATAGGTGCAGTCGTGTCTTAAAGTTCGAGAACTATTGTAAACTATTCAAGGCATTCCTAAAATTAGATAAATATAACAAATAAGCTGTATATGACTATTATCAAATCGGTTTAAAGACAATTCAGGAAACTATGAAGTTCAATAAATTATAAAAGTTTATTCAGTAAAATGTAAAATCAATCAAAATCTGTCCTATTTATAGGTACAAAGCAAAACGGGCACATTAGCTTGATGTATATAAATAGATTTATTTGATTTATTCACTTGTAACCCGCCTACAAAAGTTTTCAGCGTAATATTAATATCCATTTACTGCATACATTAGCAAATACATTAATGACATTTCATAGATTTACATGGCGTGGGGTCGCACATCGGGAGGCCTTCAAATCTGATCGGCAACTGAGCCATTTGGTGTGAATTCCCAATGGACACAGCTGCTGTTGTCTGCCACAAACTAGTAAATTAATCAAATGAACTACCTCGGAATGTAATTAACATAGACCTCTAACAAACGCGACTGACTGGGGGAAATACGGAGATATGTGGAGCAGAGAAGGGCAGGGGCTCAGCTAAAGCTGAATGACAGTCAAAAGCTAATTCTGACATATGCAATAAAATGGGGCACAAAAGTTAATAAACCTAAAAGCATGCGACCAATAATGCTTATAAATTTAATTATGTAAATGTGCGACTATAAAAAAATAACGCAAACAAACGAGCAGTGGAAGTGGGCGTTAAGGGCAGCAGCTGAACATTGAAAAAAAAGGCAAAAATTTAATAGATGTCAAGCACAAATTGAAATGCGAATACGAATGCCAAAACAACCGAACAACAAATCTAGTAAAAAAATCGCTCTTTGGATATATATTAAAAAGCGAGCGAAAGAGCGCAGAAGTTGAATGGGGTAGAGCCAGGGGGCTACGGGCCCTATTGAACCCATCGCAGATAAAACAGCGAGCGAGAGCGAGAGAGAGAAACCTGATAGCTTGATGTGCATATGAAATAATTAAATTTTTTCGGATTGTCAGGTCGCGTTATGTATTTAATGTCCCTGCTTTATGGCTGTTACCTTCAGAGAAAAAGAGAGCGAGACGGAGAAAAATATACATGCATATATATATATATATATATATATATATTTATATATTTATATATTTATATATATATATATTTATATATATATATGTAGCGGTGCATTTCTGCATTTCCGTTTGGTTATTAGTTTTTCAGCGGCATTTCCGGTATTTTTTATGTGCGCACGTCCACGTGTGTGTGGTTTAATGGCCTTGCTGCCTATGGGTGTGTGTGTGTGTGTGTGTGTGGAAATCAAGGCTGGACTTTTTATTGCTGTTGTCATGTTACTGTCTTCATTTAACTTGCAGCGGTTAATTAAAACAACAATAAAGCCAAAATATGATATGAGCTACATGTATGCAAATGTTTAATGGCTACTCTTGACTCTTTAATGCCACAAAAGAGATTTATATGTGTGCGTGGGGATAAAATATTCAGTAAATTAAATTGATAATATATGGTATAATAGATCAGACTCGGCTTATTTGTTAAAGTTGCTAACCAATACAATTATTCCAAAAGTTTGCAAAAGTCAGATAACAGACAAATATTTGTTTGCAAGAAATTTCCTCTTTTTTCTGCAGAGTTCAACAATTCTATAGACTGAAATATACATTAAAAGTGCTGATAAATGCGACACTCATTAAAAATAAATCCCTTTTGCTTTTGTACTACTTAATAATATTTAATAATCATGAAACACATTTCATAGCATACTTTACGGCGAGCGGCCGAACGTGGCAGAGTTGCCAACATGTGTCGAAATTAAACAGGTAGATGGCATTACGCTTTTACTGCCCGTTGGCTGTAAATTTTATGAGCATATTTCCAATAAATAATACATACACACACATACTCTCATATATTTTACGGTTTCCAAAAATGAGCAAAAGGGTTGCCACTCAATTATATGGCCTAAAAATAGTGGTTTGGGTCCGAGTGCGTTGGCCACGTTTATTACGTAAATGCAATTATGCAACTTTATGCAAGTCTATTTGAATGTTTAACATGTCATTTACATATGAAAGATTTAATGGCAGCGTGCATTGAATTGAAATTGCAAAAACACATGATGGCCATTCTGAGCGGTGAGCCGGGAGGAGTCATACAACAAGCGTAACAAAGAGCCAATTAAAAGGCTAACAGTGTGCGCCCATGGCCCAAAGTTTTTTAATTATAACTTTAAATTCAAAAACATTTAAGCCCAATGCGAATGCAAAACGCATAAAAACTCCTGTTTTGTTGCCCATAAAAGTATGCTATAAAGTCGAATGAATGTGTGTGTGCGTTTGCGTATGTGTACACACACACATGCGTGACCATTCCGGTAGCTGTCAATGTATTGGCCTTGTAGCAGTAACTACTAGTTGTACCCTGTAAAAAAAGGTTAACTCAAAAAGAATACAATTATCTTACTGTTTCGTATAGAAATAGTTGATACGATCTAATCCATGCAAGATCCATAAAATGAACTTAACAAGCTTGAAAGGGATAATGCAGTTCCTCACAGACTTGTTTTTATAAATCCATTTTAATATTGTACTTTAGTAACACAATTTGTTGTGTAAGCTAAGAAAGCTTTTGAAAGTATATTTCTGACGTTAGAAAAAATAGAAGTCTGTACATAACAAATTTAGACTTTCTCCCATATATTTTTTAATTGCACTTAATTTTTTTATTCAAAACTAATTCTTATTACTTTTAGTAATTTATAACCTTATTTTATTTGCTTAACAGTTTGCGAAGATCGTTGCGCATTATTGTCACAAAGTCGCTATAATTTTTATTTGTGAATATCTAAAGTAAAGGATATTTTCTAGTCCTTTACACCTTTGCTCTTTGAACTCAATATAACTCTTGTATTTGCTCTTAATGGCCGGCATTGTTAATTGCGTGCCATAAATCTGTGTGCAGCAGTCGTCCTCGTCCTGGTCGTCGAAGCCGTCGTCAACCTCAACCTCAAACTGGAAACTCGCATTGCCAGTTTTTCCCATTTTCGTTCACATAACGCATATAGTCATTCGTATAGTCGTATAGTATAGTAGTTGCATATATATATATATATATATATATATATATATATATATATAGAGGATATATATATGTATATATATTTTATAACTCCCCGACTACCTTTTGCAAAAAGACAGCAACAAAGGAGCAAAGCAAACACGAGCAAATAACAAACAGACGAATGGCCAAACGAAGTAACATGTTACATGTAATTAATTTCAAATTATTTATACATGAACGCGCGTTGCCCCGTAAAACTGAGCTAACAAATAAAAACAACAACACCGGCAGCAACTGCCAGGAAAAACTTTGACACAGCCTGCGGCGATGTTCGCACTATGCAGTGTGCTCAATTAAAGCCTGACCAAAGGGCCAGCCAATAAAAACTGTGAAATTGCCAAAGTCATAGTCATTCTCTGAGCTTGGCTTTCAGAAGCTGTTTGTAGATAATAAAACAAAGAGTTGCATTGAATGAAGTTGTCCAAATAATACAAAATTAACATAGAATCATTTACTCTACAATTCTTACTCTTCCTCATTTTTTCATAATTCTTGGAATATTTCGATTAACCGAACCAACAGATAATCATCCAATAAATATTATAAAGCTGCATTCTGTCATTGTTTTTTTTCCTCTCCTATATCTATATCTTTGCTCCCAGAACTCTTATTCTTTTCTAGCAGGTTGAAGATTCTTCACAAATACAATGCAAAAACAATAAAAGGGGGAAAAAAAGACTTCCCACGTCTGTTCGCATGCATCATTTCCCTCTCATCTTGCGTTTTCTAAATATCTTTTCTATTGCATTCGTAAAGATTTTAGAGGTACTTAATGCCATATTGAAAGACCTAGCAAATATTCTTTGCAGAATTAATATCATTTTTTTCGGATTATTATCAAATGACAAAGTACTCACTAAAATTTTCTCAAATCATATATTCGTTGGGTGCGACCGAATGTTTTTTATTTTTAATATATCCGACATAATTATGAACAATATGCAGACGCATACATAGGAATTTTATTTATATTCATTACCTGCCTTTATCTTTATTATCCCCTCAACCGAACTGCCATTTAAGCTTTGATTGTGACTCACGCCTTGCCGCAGCTAATATGCCCCTTCCCTTCTGAATCAGCATTCCCTCGTATAGGGCATAAAATGGTAGCGTACAGGGTCGTAAAGTCGCAGAGCAGCGCCTTTTGGGGTTTTGGCTTGAGGTTTTGGTTTGGGTTTGGGTTCGGATTTCGGTCTCCTCTTCGCCGCTTGCTTTGCTCTTCTCGGCTGTGACGAAAGACCGCAAAGTATTTATTTGTTAACTGGTTTAATGACAGCAGTGCCAAAGCAGTTACCACGCCTCTTTAGGGGTACAGGGTGCGGCAGTGCCCCATAAAACGCGTGCGTACGCACTTTGTGCCACAAATGCAATTGCTCTTTGCGTATACATGTGTGTGTGTGTGTGTGTGTGCGTGTGTAAATCATAGCATTTTGGCTTTAAGCGTTAAACTGTGCAACATTAACTGCCTTTTCCGCCCAGCAGGACATGCCAGCTCTCAGGTAGAAACAGCAGCCGTCGCAGTAGGGCGGGACCCACAGCACAGCAGCTGCGTTCCAATAAGCACATAATTGAATTCTGATCATAAATTTGCATTATGGCCATGGTGCGCGGCGGTTTCTAGAGGCTTCACTGTGCTTTGCTTTGGGTTTGGTTGGGTTTTTGGCAGACCCAGCGATATAATTTTTGTATTTTTGTATTTTTTTTTTTTTTTTTGCTGCTATGTACGCAGCACGTGGCTTATAGCATAATTTTACCCAAAACGCACATTTCAGTTTTGGGCCCAGCGCCAGGAAAGATACTCGTAAAAACGTGCTGCATGTAAATAGTCAAAAAAAAGTGGAATAAGCGGGCAGCTGGATGGCTGCCAGTGTAAGGTGTAGAGTAGGGTGGACAGGCGCATAAAATCCTACGATTTATGTCCGAAGTACCTAAATAACAATGGACAGCGGTTCGGTGGTCAGTTTTGCACTTAGCGATGGGGCTGATAGGGCTATGAGATGAGCAGAAATTAACGCAAACTATTAAACAATAAGCCAACGGAAGCAAATACGTTTTATTGTATAAGAGTGTAGTACTGTTTAGTTATATTAATTCTTATTGCATTTATAGGAATAGGCCCTAGCTTGTATTGCTTTTGGCTAAGTCAATATTACGCCTATACTCTAATCCGGTATTTGAATCCCCATCGTTGCTTCCCAGTTACCTTAATGAGCAGGTCATCCACCACATAATACATCAAATTAAAGCTATGTTCTAGTTATTATAAAGGGGATTTTTCTTACCTGAAGTCTTTTGTATATAAAACAGTTCGATTGAGGCACATATATTCACCACAATAATAATTGTATCAGTTCCTTAATAGCAATTTTAGTGCTTCCATCATTTATTTATATTCTTTTTGTTAGTCATTAAATTTTCGTTAATAATTTTAGCACTTTAGTCATTAAGAATACACTGACAGATACACGGTTCTACGCAAACTGATAGCATTTCAGGCAAATTGACAGTCTTTATTTATGTAGAATTAAACAACTAGTTGACGCTCGCCTGCTTGACTCAATATTGATCTTGACAGAAACAAGTTGACAGGTTCACTTAAGAGTTGCACTCACAGCAAATACCTTCACATTTCCAATTTAACATTTCTTATCACAAAAAACGAGATCTCAGCGTGACAAGTAAAGACAGCCCTTTCTTGATATAATTGATTTAACAGCAAAGAACACAAGTGGACAAATTCAGTCGTACAAACAAGTTAAGAGGCTCAGTTATGACCAAATTTTATCATATGCAACTTTGCTCACACAGACATAATATTTTTTTACCAAATTAGCTGACATTTAAAAAATATACAAACAAGTTGGCAGCTCTACCTGAGTCGAACAAGCTAGTAAGTTAACAAGCCTGGTAAAGGGTTGTTCTTACTGTAATCAAATTGGCAACTATGCTTAAGAGTTATTAATACAGAACACAAGTTGGCACTTCCACTCAGCACAAGTTGTCAAAAACACTTTAAGGATACCTTAAAATATTAAACTAGCTGGCAGCCTGCACTTAAAAGTTACTTATTCAACGAAGCCAAGTTGGCAGCTCGTCAGCCACATTAGTGTAATTAAGTAATCAGCATTTGGTTACGAATCTTTAGCCCCTTTGAGATAACTCGTGAAGTCCCTTGTATGATGAACTAAACTAGCAATGCTTGCTTTTTGTAAATGTATATTCAAAATGTGATGTTTTTATCGATTCCATCGAGTGTTGTTATTTAAATATGCAGATGCTAGCAGTTACCACGCACTCTCTCTCAGCAGCTGCTTATTCCCAAAACACACACACACACACACATGAACACACTCGAGCCATGGCATTATTTATATTTTCATTTTCAAGCACCTGCAGCTATGTAAGACACATGCTTAAAACATTTTATTGCCAGACATATTTATATACTAGATTTATCTAATTGTTTATTAATATCTTGACTTGCGGCTAACAGCAACAAAAACAGGCAGCGCTTACATACATATTTCCTGTGCGAGTCAGTCAATATTTCTATCTATCTGTCTATCTATATACAGATACATATATAAATTAAGTTCGCCCATTTAAGGGGCGTGTTCATACATTTCGCATTGATTGTTTTCAATATCGTACAACAAATGTGCCTGTCAAAAATTAATCACTTGCACTTAGTAGTAAACACACTAACACACACACACACACACACACATAGACGATGCCTGTTACACGCATTTATAATTGAATTTGGCTTTTGTAGTTGTTGTCGTTGTTGTTGTTGTTGTTGCTGCTGCTGTTGTCGTTGTTGTCGTTGTTGTTGCTGTTGTTTTGACGCTGTCTGTCCAAGTTGGCAGCTCGGCAATCGATGGGCGGGCGATGCGCGCTGTGCCATGCCTGGCAGTTGGCAACTGGCAGCACGCAATTTATTTTCATTTCTCTAATAGACTTATTTAGACACACACCCACACGCACACAGACTAGCTCACACACACATAAACACACGCACCTATACAACGCTGACTGCCAATACGCCTGTGTTTCGTGATAAATTATTTGTAATTTATTAATTTATTTATTAATTTCACCGTCTGTTTTGTTTTGCCTGTCTGCATCACTGCTTTACTCTGTATATTTGTGTGTACGTCTGTGTTCGAGTGTGTTCGTTTGCTGTATGCTCTTATTAGGGCATATTTGAGCTCGGTTAACAATATTGCACGGCAAGCAGCTTATTTTGAAGCCCAATAACTACTTAAAGTACTTGTTAGCTCATTTCGGAAATTACATATAATTGACTTTACAGCAATATTCCATTATTTGAGCTTTAATGTTATATTTAAAACATTATTTTGGAGAATTGAAAGAACCGATTTAAATTTACTAACTAAAGAGTTCTTTTTATTCATAAATTAATTCAACATCAATAAATAAATATATTAAATAACTAAATGGATTCAAATATATATATATATATATGGTTTATTTTTTATGCACGCTTTGGTGGAAGTCATTCGGGCAAAACAAAGATTCGTGTTTGATTTCTAGACCAGAGTAGAGACGTATATCTTTACGCAATCTGGAAAATAAGTCCAATTCCTTGGTATATAAAGTTTTTTTCGATGCTTTTCCTTTTCCATTTGGCTTTAACTTTTTGCCTTATTTTGGTAGCTCATTAATAAGGTCAGTAACAAGGCGAAGGTGTTTATGCCTCACACTGTCTTAACTTGTTTTCCTTATGATTTTTTTTTTTATTTTTATTGCATGCTAGCCGGCGTTTAATGGCCCCCTCGCATGCGAGTTGCTAGTTGTCAGGCTTGTGTTGACAATATAAATGGATTTCCAATGATTTATTGTTGCATTAGAACGCATTAGGCGACGAATGGCAACAGCAAGCAGCAGCCAGTTGACAGTGGACAGTGGACACTGGCCAGTGGACATTGGATAGTGGACTGGGTATTGGGAGAGTCTGACTTACCCAGGAAGATACTCATTCTAGCCCCGCATCCCGCCCAGACATTTGTTTCAGTGTGCAGTCAGTGGAAATGCATAAAAATGAATCATAAGTTTAAAAATTTATAAAATGCGCCAGGGCATAACTGCCAGACAAGGAACTAGTGCCCAGAATGGGGCATGAAGTAGGCGTGGCAATACGCCATTTGCAACAGTTCTTGCAACATTTTACTGCCCAGACAGACGAGGCAGCATTATCAAATGTCTACGACAAGGAAAAAAAAATTAAATTAAATTGTAGTGAGTAGTCAGGACGGAGGGCAGGAAGGCAGAAAGCCTTGGCGAGTGGGGTTATTTCTCCGAGTCGAAAAGAAGCAGCAAAAATAGTAATAGAAGATGAAAGATGCTGCATTGCTATATGTTAAAATCGTCTTCGACAGGCACATGGGCTGCCTGGACAGCGAAATTGAAACTCCGGCATCTAAGACGATGCCCATCTTCCAGGCTGCCGCTCGAACAACCTTCGTAATGCAAACTTAATAAGATGTACGCCACCCTCCCACCCAGCCTCCATTCCCCTCTTTTCCCCCCACCGCTCGCCGTCCTCCGCCCGCGCTGTGCATGTCGTCTGTCAGTGGATACACATGCAACTATCACGACTGCACTGTCAGTTAGACAAACAGAGCAGTAGAAGAAGAAGAAGTAGCTATTGCCATACCACATCCACTTTCGTCAGTTTTGCCATCAGTTTATCTGTCGCCGTGCCAGAGAAAGACAGACAGATCGACAGACAGGCAGGGAGAGTGAAAGAGATGGAGACAGAGCGCGAGACAGACGAGATAGTGAGCGGACAGCCCGAAGAGTCAGCGAATTTGTTGCCCCTGCCAAGTTGTTGCCATATAACTGTAATCAGTAAACATTTTATGGTCGCAACTGTACTGCATTTTGTATTAGACATCATGATGTGACTGGATAGATACTGGCTCACATGTAGCTCAAACAATGCCAACGTGCTTTCTGACAAATATTGCCCGGAGCATGGCAACCTTCTTCTCAAGCAGACAGTTTCAGTCAGATTCCTAAACTCTATTGATCAGAGCAAACAAACTGTTCTTGATACCTCTAGAGTAGCGAAAAATAGTTAGATACAATAAGATTGAATATACTTTAAGAAACAAATCGTCTTTATTTAAATGGTTTCCTTTAAGTAGACTAAATTCGAATTGCGGATTCGGATTGACCTTTGGTAAATTGACACATTTTTTAATAAATATCCACCCGTTTAATAGACTTGGCTTAGACAGGTTAGGGTTCAACCTTAAAAAAAGTGAAAAAAAAAAATAAATTAATAATATTTGTATTCTATATGTTCCCAGTAACTAACTAAAATAGTAATACAGTTGGGGTTCTCGTTTTAGTTCGGCTGTGTTTTGGAAAAGGTTCAGTATAAGTTTCTAAAAAATCAAAAACTCAAGTGCAGCTTCCAGCCGGAGCTGGCAACATATTTACTGTCATAACTGTCATAATATCATTAAAGTAAATATGCAAGCCATTGTCCCCTAATGCTGTATTCAATAACAACTTATTGCGTGGCTTTGTTCTGCTGCTATGGCGCACATGAAACTCAACTTCAGTTCATGATGCCACTTATGCTTACATTGTGCTTCTCTATGCATCTATTGTCAGCCGGTCCATCATTCTACAGTTATTCACAATCAATTTGGTCACAGACGTATACATACGTAACTATTAACTGCTATCATTACAGACTACTTGGACAGTCCTTGAGCTCCACTGACAGGACTCTTCTCTGCGTTTCAATTGTTTGCTGCAAGCGAAGTCTGCCTAAGTGCGATATACGATATACCATGACAGAGCTGAGCAGCTGAGGAGCACAGCGACAGCAATTAGGCAAACGTTGGCCCTTCATTAGGCTGATCAATGGGCTGCTTGATGTCACTTCTGGGCAGGAAAAGGGTTTGGGGTGAAGAGGGGATGAAGGGATGAGGAGTTGCCACATGTGGCACATCCTTTTCTGCCAAGAGGAAGTGTTGACTGGCCACAAATTTGCCGGCGTCTTGCGGATGCAACTTTGTTATATCTTCATGCTTCGCTCTCTGTCCCCCTCTCTCTGCATCTTGCTTGATTTTGTTCTCTTTTTTGTGCCTGCCGCCGGCACTTGCGGCTTTATTGTTGGCATTGTCTAACATCTTCAGCAAGTTGCCTTTTTTTTCTGGCTGCTGCCACTAAAAAAAACGGTTATTTACTCTGCTTGTAGTTGCCGCAGGCGTCGCTGCCTTGTCGCATACTTTTCACTCTATCCAGCCAACACGTTCCTGCTGCCCGCTCACAGCCATCCCTGTGTCTGTGTGTGCCTACTTAACACAATAAACACTCAATTTTGAAGCATGTTTTGTTTGGGATTTGTCACAGATACTTCGTGTTGCTTGAATGGTGAATAGGAGAGGAGAGGAGGCAACTGGGTGCTGGTTTGAAACTTTGCTAAGCAGCCCGCAACTGTTTGTTTGCTCGGGAGCAGATCAAGTTGAGGCCTATAAATACATTTTAACATGGCGACAATTGTTGACTGGTTGCTGCTGCTTTGATTTGTTTTCAATTGTTGGCAGCAAAAGTTTTCTGAATAATACCAAAAACTTGACACCAAGTTCACAAGTGAATGAAATTCTTGCGGAAATTTAAGATGTTTCCACTATACGGCAGCAGCAGCTTAAAATTGTAGCTAATATAGGAGGAACATCTATTTATTCATGCTAGCATTTACTGAGGATCTTTTGTTGCCGTTCTTATATATCAACAAGAGCCTTGAATCCATT